TCCCCAGAGGAAGAAATCCAATGGCGTCAGGTCTGGGGAACGTGCCGGCTAGTGACGGGGTCCTCCTCGTCCGATCCAGCGCTCTGGAAACATACCGTCGAGTTGATGACGAACGATGCGGGCTGCATGTGCAGGAGCACCGTCGTGCTGCAGCCAGATCCTTGTCAGGTTCTCTTCGAGCAGTCCACTGATGCGAAGGAGGGGTTTGAGGTTGCGCCTGAAAAATCCATGGTATTTCTCGGCTGTCAACGTTTCCTCAAACTGGAAAGGTCCTATCTGAAATTAAAAGAGCACTTTGTTTTAAGAAAAAAATTTAACTTAAATTCCAAGATTACTTACCAGTTTATCATTAATTATTCCTGCCCAAAGATTCACAGAGAATCGGAGAGCGCTGGATCGGACGAGGAGGACCCCGTCACTGGCCGGCACGTTCCCCAGACCTGACGCCATTGGATTTCTTCCTCTGGGGACACGTGAAGTCGGTCGTCTACAGGACACCCATCGAGACGCTGCAAGAACTTCACCTGCGGATCGACAGTGCCATGCGTTCCGTCACTCCGGAAATGCTGGTAAACTGTCGAGGCAGCCTCCTGCAGCGTGCGAGGTGCTGCATTCAGGCGAATGGCGGACACTTCGAGCACCTTCTTCATTGAGGTAAGGAAACAAAATTATTCAATAAAAAATTAATGTTTAAATTTGATTTTTAATCCATTTGGATTTTTATCATGCTTTAGGTGCTATCTCCAGAGCTGCCTGTCTGCGCCCCTGTGTGTTCCTGTACAAGACGACGACCGGCCGGTCAAATTGTAAAACAACTTCAATACAACAGGTACGTTTTACAACAGCATCTTAACAATATCAATTAGATATGCTAATAAATTTGTTTTTCGTTTCATGTAAACATCATTCTCGGTGGGAACAATCTTTGGATCGACTTCGAAAAAAGTAAGTAAACACAATACAGTACAACATTATTTTTTAAATTAATTAATTAATTTCTTTTTTCCTTTCCTATTTCTTTTACATGAAGGCGAGAGAAAGCGGCGCAAGTTCAATAAGTGAGGCTAGCAATGAAAAGTAAACAGGATTCGCCTGTCATCATGCTACAGTCGAAGGTAAGCGAACCCTGCCCTATAATCCATTTGTCACTTTTAACGGCGCAAGTTCAATAAGTGAGGCTGTCAATGAAATGTAAACAGGATTCGCCTATCATCATGCTACAGTCAAAGGTAAGCGAACCCTGCCCTGTAATCCATTTGTCACTTTTATTAAACAAATAAGATATAAATAACCATCTACCTTTTCTTTTCCAGATTGTCATTATCAAGGTGATGAGAAAGGGAAATAGAAGAACAGCATCCTAGATGACCTAACCTGAGGACAACAAGCGGGGACGGCCATCTAAAATTTCCAGTATCTTCATTTATTGGATTAATAAATAACCATCTACCTTTTCTTTTCCAGATTGTCATTATCAAGGTGATGAGAAAGGGAAATAGAAGAACAGCATCCTAGATGACCTAACCTGAGGACAACAAGCGGAGACGGCCATCTAGAATTTCCAGTATCTTCATTTATTGGATTGGACAAGACTGTAACGGCAAATTAGTGATAAAGATTAAATTATACATAATATGGTAAAACATATGATGTATATTTTATTCGCTATCACTTTTTCAAAGTTACAGTCTTGTTCAATCCAATGAATGAAGATACTGGAAGTTCTAAATGATAATTATTATAACCAATAACCTATTCTATAAGATAACTGCGATTATCATTATTTATTATAAAAAACGCGTATCCCTTTTTTTCGTCCCAAGAATCGGTATACCAAATTGCAGTCCTTTGCGACTTCCGGTGGCAAAGTAACGCAACACTTTTCGACCCCGGATCTTGTGAAAAATACGTCAAATTGAAAAAATGGACTAGGAGCGAAATGCAAAAACGCGTATCCCTTTTTTTCGTCCCAAGAATCGGTATACCAAATTGCAGTCCTTTGCGACTTCCGGTGGCAAAGTAACGCAACACTTTTCGACCCCGGATCTTGTGAAAAATACGTCAAATTGAAAAAATGGACTAGGAGCGAAATGCAAAAACGCGTATCCCTTTTTTTCGTCCCAAGAATCGGTATACCAAATTGCAGTCCTTTGCGACTTCCGGTGGCAAAGTAACGCAACACTTGTCGACCCCGGATCTTGTGATCTTGATCTTGATCTCCACCTATGTATCCTCCACATCTTTTAAAAATCCAGAATCAAAAATCGGCTAACACTCTGTAACTTTCACATCGTAACTCGCAAAGGTCTGAAAATTGGCATACTCATCCCAGTGAAGAAAAAAGGGGATACGTATTTTTGCAATTTTTTCTCAGGTAATGTTTTCAATTTTACGTGTTTTTTCGAAAATTCAGAGTCGAAAAGTGTCGCGTTCACATTGTAACTCGCAAAGGTCTGAAAATGCGTGTTTTCGCATTTTTTTCCTAGTCCATTTTTTCAATTTGACGTATTTTTTCACAAGATCCGGGGTCGACAAGTGTTGCGTTACTTTGCCACCGGAAGTCGCAAAGGGCTGCCATTTGGTATACCGATTCTTGGGACGAAAAAAAGGGATACGTGTTTTTGCATTTCGCTCCTAGTCCATTTTTTCAATTTGACGTTTTTTTCACAAGATCCGGGGTCGACATGTGTTGCGTAACTTTGCCACCGGAAGTCGCAAAGGGCTGCAATTTGGTGTGAACATTCTATGAACGAAAAAACGGGATATGTAACTCGCAAAGGTCTGAAAATGCGTGTTTTCGCATTTTTTTCCTAGTCCATTTTTTCAATTTGACGTATTTTTTCACAAGATCCGGGGTCGACAAGTGTTGCGTTACTTTGCCACCGGAAGTCGCAAAGGGCTGCCATTTGGTATACCGATTCTTGGGACGAAAAAAAGGGATACGTGTTTTTGCATTTCGCTCCTAGTCCATTTTTTCAATTTGACGTTTTTTTCACAAGATCCGGGGTCGACATGTGTTGCGTAACTTTGCCACCGGAAGTCGCAAAGGGCTGCAAATTGGTATACCGATTCTTGGGACGGAAAAAAGGGATACGTGTCTTTGCGTTTCTTTCCTAATCTATTTTTCTATTTACGTATTTTTTACAGTCTCCAGAATCGATGAGTACTCTATAACTTTGAAATCAGCAATCGCGATGTCTTGGAAATTCGATACGGCTATTCATAAGACGAAAAAATAATACTTCTATGCTTAGTTTTCAATTCATTTTAAATTTAATCCATCAGTCCCACCACCCACCCTCCCGACTCCCTCTCACTTTAATAATCTGTTTTCCTCCGGACTGCTATAAATTTCAGTGCATGACGTTTTGGACACCGTGTACCGGTTTTCGTCTGGCTGAATGCATATCCCGAAACAATTGCCGATCGCGCGTTGCACGTGTAGCTGCTGCGCCAGCCTAAGTCACGCCCATGCCCATATTGGGAGTTTGTCAACGAATCCTACGACGCTCGCTCGGGCTATGAAACAATTGCTAAGCGCGGAATTTTCAGGAAGCTACTGCAAAGCAGCAATCTTTGGCATCCGCGAATGAATCCGCGGAAATCCTTCGTTCTGATTGGTCGCACTTAAATGCTTCTCATTTAAAAACTATCGCGAATTTTGGCAAACGGTTTGCGGGAGGGTCGCAGGGCACCTCCAGGCATGGCCCACTTTACGGTCCAAAAGCAATTCTGGGATACCCTGTATATCTTAAAATGGAGATTAAGATAAAGTTCTTCTTCGACTGTGCCCATCATTTTGAATACAACATAGCCAGCATTACTTTAGTCTCGACGATCGTAGCGAGTGCATCACATAGTTGTTCACACATTATAACCAGTCATTTTAAAGTTTTGAGGCCCTATAAAAATGGAAAATAGCAATGAGATTAGGTCAAGTGAAGATGAGTTTGATTTTGAACTGTTCACAAACTTATCTATTCATCATGAAATTGGTGGTACAACAAGTGAGAACAGTGACGAATTATCACACAAAACGCATTTATAGAACTCCGACTTAGAAAATTATATTTTTCAAAATGTAAATAAAAACTCTGTATTATAATATAAACATTTTCGTATGTTATTCTGTGTACAAATTCATTTTATGCTACCTGTAAGGCACTCGTAATATATGCGTAAACTCGCTTCGAGTTGCTGCTCCGCCCGACTGAAAAAGTCATCGAGCGCAAAGGGTTAATTCTCCGGTAAAATTTTCGAACTATATCATCGTTTTTATTATAATTTGTTGCAAAAAATTCTTTAAACTGTTGTATTGTATATCCGCGGTGCTTGTAATACGAAAACATCAGACAGTACTGTCCACAAACTTGCGACTTGAGAGAGTGCAACGGTTTTTGATTCCATGTAATTCTTCTTGAATTCCTTCTAAGAGCTTACTGATACTTCCTCACAAAAGGTTCCAGCCCGTAACTATCAAAGTATTCGCGTTCTCCTTGTTGATTGATATAAAATACTACCCAGTGAGTGCCGGGCTTGTTCTGAGGATCTGTATTCGTAACTACAGCGGATGGTCTATTAAGACGTAAGGGGATTCTGTCTGCTGAAAACACCCCCTTTAAGTTAAATTGTATCCCGCGTAAAACTTTTTGAATCTGGGGATTCTCCAATGAAGAACTAGTCATTTTCAGCTCTTGTGCGTCTGAATAATAACTCGGCTAACTGGAATAATCGGCTATCACTTGTCCCGAGGAGTCTATTTCTATAATTGTTGAGAAATACATTTATGCTGACGAATATTGCACCATAGTGCAATG